GCACCAATCCCTCCCCGTAGGTGCGCTTTGTCGAAGCTGAGACCGCGTAACGGCTGGACGACATGAGTCCAAAGCTGGTTCCTGTGACGAAAGTTCGAAACAACCGCCTCAGCGCCGCCGCCGCCGCCGCCGCCGCCGCCGCCGCTGGACAGGCTTCGCTGCAAGGCAGTCCAGGCCTGGTCGAGGCGTCCTCCTAGTTTTCTGCGGCGTAGGGCAGGCCGGCCGCGCTCGTGGAAGGCGTTGCTGCATCGCCAGAAAGCTTGTCGCCGTCCGTCTGGCCAGAAGGTCTCAGGGGCGCCGTGTTTCTTTGGGGGCTGAAAGCTGGGGACGCCGCTCACCGCGCCACTCTGTGTGCTGACAGCTGGGACGCCTCTCGCCGTGCTAGGAGCAAAGGCCAGCCGACAGCGAGCTATCCAGGAGCAGGGCTGTGTTGATTGTCGAGGCGCCGCCGCGTCGCTGTTGGGGCTGGGCTGCATACCTTGGGGGTCGCTGCCTCGCGTCGCGCCGTTTGCCGCAGCATACCTTGGCCATTGAGCGCCGCAGGTCTCTCCGACCGCGCGCCGTTGCTGTCCCCGTCCACCCGTGGCATTCCCACTTTCTCCGGGCACCCTCGTCGCTGCCTCCACCTCTGGGCTTTTGCAGCCGTCATCGCAAGGTTTTGGGCTGTTTGCGCCGCGTGTGTGGAGGATGGGACTCATCCCTTGGGCAGTGTGCTTGGGCAGCCTTGTGCCCTTTCCTCCCCCCTCTGCCGCGTGTGCCCCGACCTCGCGCCCCAGGTCAGGTCGTTCTCCTTCACTCGCCGTGCCATCATGCCCATCAACGAGAGTGCTGCCGTGTCGTCCGCCGCCCGCCTGGCCCTATGCGCACACAACTGGGAGAGCATCAACCTTGCCATCCGACGTCGCCGTGGGCTTTCAACACAGTTGGCTTCAATGTGGTTGGAGAGGAAATTGATTATGGGCCAAAAAAAGATAAACAAGAAGAGCGTGTCGAAGAGAGTTTCAAGGAGGATTGAAGGTGCAGTCTTTGTTTGTTAAGAGCAAAGAAAAAATAAGTGCTTGGGCAAGTGTTGTCTGGCAGATTTGCTATCCAGCTGCCTTGTTTTCAATCTCAGCATGCATGCCGCGAGGGGGGTCGGCGGGCGGCCTCTGCCCCCGCCCTCCCCCCCGTTTGCGCAGGGGGGGGTGGGGCGCTGTTAGGCCCCCTCCTGCGCAAGCGAGGCTGGCCGGGTTCAATGCTCGGCACGGCCTTTCCGCACAGTCTGTGCTGAGTTGCACCAGCAACTGTAAGAATTTCAATTCATACCCAGGCGTAAAGTGTTGCATTCCTGGTTTCACTATGTACTGGGCAGCAGCTGCTCTGCCTTATGCCTTGAGATTTGGCGGACACGCATCTCAACTGCTGCGTTTACAGCACAGGTCAAAACACGCCCAGCATTGCACAACTTAGGACTGTTGCAGTAAGAACCTGGCCAGTCAATGCTGTCAATGCAGCAAAGGGCTTCACACGCCAGTACTGCAGGCTGTCAGTTGCCTGCACTCTAATCGCAGCAAGGTGATGATCGTGACGGCCACACATTTAGGGCCTGACGTTCCTCCCAAAACAATTCGCTCTGTCACAGGCACCCCTTAAGCAAAAGGTTCTGCCCAATAGCAGCGCCTCGACCAGTGGCCATGCTGAGGCATCAAGTTGCCGCTGCTGAGCACGGCACTAAGGGCAGGACAATCCTGTCATTTTGGCAGTGCGTGTGTGGCTGCATACGGCTGCAGCTGTATTTATTTGCGTTGAATGATTGTGTGCTTGCTGACGAGAGCATGAACCCTTCGAATGCAGCAACACGCTGTTTTTCGACGAGGGAGGTAGATGACACCAGGGATGGGCAGCACGTGAATGTGCATGTGCCCAGCCCTCTGCCCGCAGCTGCCTGCATCGACTCCCGAGCTCTGAAGCTTTTGTTGCAGCATACATTTGCACCCAGCAGACAACTGCTTCACAACGACTCGCAAGCCTGACGCGAAACGCACCTTATCCCTGCCCTCTGCCCAACGTCCCGCCCAACAAATCAAATCACGATGATGATCTCCCGCACCATCAGCAGGGCCTCGGCCAGGCCTCAGCAGGCGGTCCGGTCTGCTGTGCGCGTGCAGGCCGCTAAGGATTCGCCGGTGCACGCCGTTCTGCAGAACGCGGCTACTCTGGCGGTTGCTGTCGGCATCGCCCTGGTGCGTGATCGGCCTTCGTAGTATTTATGATAACACTTGAATGTGTCAAATTCGATCATCAGCCCGCGGGAACGGTTGGTCCCTTGCCAGATCGCGATGGGTGGGTGTCGGGCGGGAGGCGATGCCAGCTGCACGAGTCCCTTCCGGGCCAGGTCCGCCATCATCTTAAAACAACCGCACATTTCCGTACCTCTTTATGTTTTCCGCCAGTCACCGGCGCCCGCGTTTGCGGCGCTGCCCGACGGCGTCTCGGGCCCTGGCCAGACAGAGCTGGACGAGCTCCTGACTGCCAAGCTTGAGAAGATCCGTGCCTCCGGGCTCGCCAATGGGAATCCCTCGGGAGTGAGCGAGCGCCTGGAGGCACTGGGGCCAACACAAGCGGGACCTGTTGCTTCGATTCAGCAGGGTCGAATGCTTCTGTTCCGGCAGCCTGCTGCATGTGCCCAACCCGGTTGTACTCCCTGCGAACCCCCCCACCCCACCCCCTCGCAGGCCCCGGTGCGTGTGGAGACCACTTACGACGCCGATCGCAAGCCGCTGAACGCCACCAAGGCCCCGGCGGCAGAGCCCGTCCGCGCGGCGGCGCCTGCTGAGGAGGAGCGGATCGACATCCGCCAGGCCGCCATTGTGAGCGGAGCAAGGGGGCTTGCCCCACAGTGGCGCAGGGCGGGGGCCCAGGAGGGTTGATGGTGCCCCTGGGACCTTGCATTTTTTAATCCACCGTGTGGAAGGTTGGCGTATAATAGCTGAAAGGCATCGGCTCAGCGCAACGATGTGCTGCCCTCGCCCCCTTCCACCATGCTCCAGCCCCGAGCTATTCTGTGCTCTCACCCTTTCCCGCCACCCAACCCCTCCAGGACGCCGCCGACACGCCGCCGCTCGAGGCCGGCCGCCCCGTGGCTGCTGCCAAGGCCGCCCCGGCCCAGAGCCGCGCCGCCCCGTCCTCCGAAAGCGCTGCGCCCGCCCCCAACACCGCCGCCCTGGCCGGCGTTGCCGTCCTCGCGCTCGGCGCCGTGGCCGCCGCCGCCGCATTCAACAAGGGCGAGGAGCAGCAGCAGCAGCAGGCCGCCACCCCCGCTGCGCCGCTTGCGGCGGAGGCCGCGCCGGAGGGCCCCGCCGAGCCCACCGCCCCGGAGACG